CTCCTATCCCACTTTCACTTTTACTTTCAGCGTCTGGGGCAGCGAAGAGAGAGAGAGAGAGAGCGTGTGAAAGGGACGGTGGTAGGGGGGGAGGGGAGGGAAGGAGGTCGGGTAGGGAGTGGAGGCACAAGTCTTTTATTACCGAACATCCGACGAGGGGGGAGGAGAGTATAAGGGGGGGGCAAGGGGGGAGTAGGGAGGGGGAGGGAGGAGAGAGAAAGGGGGCAACACACGGCAGCTTTCTAATGTCCGCAGCGACCTTGGGTACGACAGCTTACAATGATGGGTATAAAAAAGGAAGGAATTTGGGATACATTACAGACGGAATGAAAGAGAGAAAGCGGCGTAGGTCTTTTACGGAGATGGATTTGACAATGAGCCTCCCCCCCCCTCCCCATCATCCGAAAAATGGGGAAAAAAAAGATAGATGGTTGCGAAATGGCACAGATACAGAATCCGAGAGAATGGAGAATGAGATGGAGAAACAGAAATAGAAAGGGATAATATGAGAGAGAGAGAGAGAGAGAGAGAGAGAGAGAGAGAGAGAGAGAGAGAGAGAAGAGAGAGAGAGAGAGAGAGAGAGAGAGAGAGAGAGAGAGAGAGAGAGAGAGAGAGAGAGAGAGAGAGAGACCCATAAATCAAATGAGAAATGGATAGACAGGGAGATAGATCGAGGGAAAGAGGGCAGGAAATAGGAAGGATTCCCACTAGCTGGTTAAGGCCAACAAGCTTCTTATCCCGTTTCTCGCCAAGAAAACTAGGTTAATCCTCAAAACAACTCTTTTAAATCGAAAAAAAAATCCCGCTAATAACCCCATCCGTTAACACATCTAAAAAAAGAACACATGCCCGTTACATACCAGCAACCTACGTATACAAAAAGGAGAGAGATGTTATCGCCAACAGCATTTATAACAAACCCCAAACAAAAAGTGCCCCCAAAGGTGAACGGCGAATGCCCAAAACCCTTTCACTTTCCACTCCTCACTCGCTCCAGCCAACCTCGCCCCCCCCCCAGCTCCCGCGTCCGCCATCTTGTCCCAAAGACCTGCTTTTTGTGATGGGTTTCAGGTCGGACGCTGGTCTGCTCAGGTCGGGTCTCGGAGATATGGATGGTTCATCTCTGGTATGTTGTTGCTAATGATCACGCCGTCGCTAATGGGCGAAGTCATGCAACGGAAGGCAACACCTGGTCTCCTGCGTTCTCTTTTTTTAATTGAGCATTATTTCTAACTGTTATTACCATACGTAATCATCATCATTTGGTCTTAAAGTCGAGCGTAATTCAACGAAATCCCGAGCCAGTTCAAGCGAAGTCAAGCTTTTTCAGTTTGTTCCTCGGGATCACTAAATCGCGCGTGATAGGTTAGGCGCTTAGGTTAAGAAACCGTCTATCTTTCAACTTTGGACTTATAACAACATCTCTTAGTAGAAGGGAAGGAGGAGGGAAGGGGGGTGAGGAGATTCTGGGAATGATAAGTGGATGTTCTAGTTTGACGTCATTTGAATTACGTCAACACGTGTTAACATTAGATAACCTGCAACACACAACCTTTGACATTTCTTTTCCTGCCCCCTTTTCCTTTTCCTTTTCTTCGGTGAAAAAAAGGAGAGAGAGAAGGAAACGAAAGATATATGATGCTGCACTTATTGTGTTTCGAATAATCATGGCTGTGCTGAAAAGCTTGAGGGTAGGGGGATAGGGGGTGAGGGGAGGAGAATGAGGCGACATGAAACACTTGAATATATAAGAGAAGACATTATAAGCCTGACAGTTGCAAAATCAAACCAGTTTTCGCTAGACTTGTACGAGTTCGCTGATCGTAAAAAAAAAAAAAAAAAAAAAAAAAAAAAAAAAAAAAAAAAAACTTAAAAATATTAAGCCACTACCTGACTGTTTAAAAAATCAAATGACTACGCCCTATTGAAAAAAATGAAAGCAAAAAGTTATGCATCTGTATCCTGAGTTTTAACATCCACACCACCTAGTAATCATGAGCTATTACCTGCACAATACCCAGTAACCGAGTAACATACACGCGTTACTGATCACCTGATGGCAACACCTTTCTCTCTCGTCTGACTTCTCCGTTAACTGGCTTCGACTTCGACTTGGTACTTGAGAAGAATAAAAAAAGAAAAAAAAAAGAAAGATATCTCCCCGCACTTTATATTTAAATATCTCAAGAACAACTTGTACGAGAAAGGGAAAAAAAACCCTAAAATATAACAGGTAATGAATGTCGGCAGCGGATATTTTTTTACTATTCTTTAGCTTTCAGATTCCTAAAGATAAAGAACTGATTAAACATTAAATGGTGGACTAACGATCATTACTTCTTTTAAGATTCTCATAAGCTAAAAAATATTAGATATCTATTGAAGAGAGCAGTTTTTTCCCTCCCCTTCTTCCAGATTAAGATAGCTTAAGAAGTACTCCGTTGGCTAGCAAGCGGCCTGGCCAAGAAAAAGCCATTGGAACAAGGCCCGGTGCCCCGTTACCTAACAGTCTGGGCAAGTGAGTCTGCTTGGAGCGCCGGCCTGATGCTGTCGAGGTGCTGAGGGAACGGACCTTTCTAAAAGCCTCCGATACATACACAGGCATACGTGCAGATCCTTACATGTACTGAGATAAACGAATAAAAACACATGTAAGCATACACATACACATGCATATAGACATAAGTACATAAACACATTTAAATGGATACCCTGTCTTTCATGCAGTCGCGCACACTCACTCTCTCACATTTATACATGCCACGCACACAGCCGTGGGTAAAAGTGATCGGATGACAAACCCCAGAATGGTTTGTGACAATTGCCTTATATGTGAATCTGTGTCCGTTCTCGTCATGGTAATTCTTAAGATTCATCCCATGGTTATATAACAGATTTTTTTCTCGTATATTTAAGAAATGACCCATTAAAGATATCAAATTTAGACAGTATTACAGACAAGGTTAATAATGACCAGAAGCTCCCTCCGCTACACCTTCCTCCCGAAAAAAAAAGTATTTGGAAATTCCTCGTCTCACAGGAAGCTAATTTCTTCTGGGTGCTGAAACGACCTGCCTGATCAGACTTCCTTTCACTCCCGCCGGAATTATAGGTCTTCGGGCACAGGTTCTCTCGCTCTCCCTCGAGAGTGGCCGCTCATGAATGGCCTTTTTTTGTATTTGTATTATCTTTTCCTTGTTCTCTGGTGTTTAGTTATTGTTGCTTTTCGTCTTTGTATTTTTTTACTTATATATTCATATTGTTATTTGTTTTAATACTGCACTCTCTGAATGTTTTAATTTTAATTTCCTTTTCGTTTGGCGTACGTGATTATTCTGTTATATTTTGAGTTGGTTTACAGTGGCTTTGTAGGTCAGTGTTTCACTCTCCCTGATTTAATTATCTTTGTTTCTTTCCCTTTCCCCTTTTCTTACTAGTGAAATAACTAGTCTGACGCCTATACAACCGCAGCCGAAGAGAGACAGATGGCACAGCCACACCCAGACAAGAGGCACCCGACCTCCCTTCCTCCGTATGTGCACGATAGTTGCACAAACATCCGCCCTCCCCCCTCCCACCCCTTCCGCTATACTTCCCCTCCTACTTGCCCTCTTTTCACTCCTTCCTTCCTCTCCACTAAAATTCTTACTCTTAATCCTCCCTCTCTTCTTTTCCTCTTCCTCCACCCCCTCTCCCTCCTCCCTCCACGTGCCTAACAGCTAATTCGCCTGCACAACGCAAGCCACACTTTGGCACATCACCAACGCCCTCTTTGGCCCATTATCTCAATTGGCTTCCCTTTGCAATGGAGTTGTAAACTAGAGGCCTTTTTTTCCCTTCCTCCTATTCTTCTTTTCTCTTCTGTTCTTGTTTTTAAGGCAATGCGGGAGGCGTTTAAATAGGGTATTATTGTAAGTGTTATAGCGTGTGGTTGCGGTCGCCGTCGTTGGCCTACATTTACGTGGAGTGACAACAGGCTGTGCAGTAATTTGGGTGTTATAACTCCTTATTATCATTCTTTTGAGCTTGTCTTCGGATTTTCTGAACATCATTGATAGATATTAGTGCTGGAATGAGATATTTAAAATTTTTTGATTATTAATGAAATTATTGTTGATGTAATTACTTTCGCTTACTGGTTTTCAAGTTGTTTTTAAAACTTTTATCTGAAGATTTCCTTTTCTAAACAGCCACAGAAATGCATCCATTTTTTCTCCAAATTATTGTAGATAATAAGACTGACTTTACATTTCCACGAGGATGGTGAACGATCGTTATTATTATATTTTTTCTTAATTTTCCTTCCCAACAGTAAACATGCACAATTTCAACTCCGTAGATTGGGTTGCCACCGAGGAGGAACTTCCTGAGTATTTCAAAAGACAGCACTTACAACAAACTTATTAAAGTACACCTCTTGTTATATTTAGAAGGAGTAGAGCACTTGTCTCTGTTTCTTTCAAAATGTTCATGCATTTGATAGTTATCAATATGTACTATTACTTTCTCCGCATTTAGGGGAAAATAGCACTTATCTATGGTACTTATCTCACAAGTGTAACACACAGTCACTGGGTTAGTACGACGGCCACAGCATGCAAAGTGCAGATTAGTTTCGGGGGGAGAGGGGGACGGGGTACCTAGGCCTATCTCAGGGGACGGGATGGAGAGAGTGGGTTCAGTGTGGTTATGGTAATTATAATTTTTAAGATCATTGGTTTGTTTAATGTTTATGATATTGCTTATGGATCTAGACAATTTCTTTCCCTTGTGAGAAATGCAATTGTCTTTATAGGTTGTGAAAATCAATGTACGTTTTCTCTTGTTATAGGATACAGTGAAGGTATTTTGATTGTACTAGCATTTTGGATTAATTTATCTCTCTCTTTCTCCTTTATCCTCGTCCCCAGATCAGTCACGTAGACCTACGTAGTCCCCTCTCCCTCTCCCCTCGGTCGACGCAGGACAGGGGTCCCTTGGCAGTGTCACACACAACATACTCGGAATAATCCTTGCGGCTCGGGCAGGGCGACGGCGCAGGCCAGGAGGGCGGCGAGGAGCACCAAGTTCCTCATTCTTGCGTCTAGGAAGGGCAAGGAACTCGTTAGAAGGCGTCGACAGGAGCTCGTTGAGGAGGAACGGCGGGGTAGGGCGGCCTCGGGTTTTAGGGAGAGCTGCTAAGCCACGTCCGAACGGTGGAGAGGTTGGGTGACGACTGTGGGGAAGGAGCGCCC